TATTTAGGAAGAGAGCATAGGTATGAGTCTAGTATATTGGGATGATCTCAAAAGAAAAATGGACAGCTGAGAAAGGGATGCACTGGGAAGAAGAGGGAAAAGAGAGGAAGAATAGGGAAAATTATCTCATGAAAGATTTGCAAGGATGACTTTTACAATTTAGGGAGAATGGGGATGGAGCAGGCAGTGCTTAAATCTCACTCTCATCTGAAGTATTTCAGAAAGGGAAGAAATACACACACATGCATGCACATGTGCTTAGGTTGGGTATAGAAATTCCTCTTGCCCAAGAAAGAAGTAGGCTGAGAAGAGGCTAAGAGAATGAGCGAGGGTATGAGGAGAAGGAGGGTAGATTGAGAAAGGCATTAGTTAACATCAGAACAGACTCTTAAAGAGGGGAAGGGTAAAGAAAAGACAGAGAAATAGAAGAGAATAGAATGGAGTGCAGTCCATAGTTAGCGATCATAATCGCATGTGAATGAATGAACTCACTAGGAAGACAACAGTAAGAGCAGTGTTGTAATGATAACTAAAAGACTTCGCCACTGATCAATACAGTGGTCCACCACAACTCCAAAGGATTCGTGATGAAAAAGGCTCTGCCTCCTGCAGACATAGAATTGATTGATTCAGAATGCAGGTTTTGAAGCATATTTGCTTCCCTTCATTTTTCTTGCTCCTCCCCCCACTGGAATATGGCTCATATAAACCATTTTTTAACATAACCATTTGTATAACAGGTGTCTTTTTACTTGCCTTCTCAGTAGTCCGGGGAATGGGTGGAAGAAGGGAGAGAATTTGGAGCTGAAAATTTAAATGAAATTTAAATGCTGCATCAGTGGGTTTCTTGTATTAAGTGAGGCAGAAGGAAGAGACAGAAGTCCTTCTGTTGTCCACCATGCATGTTTTCTCTCCACTCCTTCTTGTATACATTGGCAAAATAATCTTTCTAACCTTCAACCAAGATAAATGGAGTGCTGCAAAGAGGGATTATGACCTTGCCACTACTATTCCAGGGGTCAGAGATCTGCTATATGCTCCTTCTCTGGGACTGAATAGAAAAAGGGCACTTTGAATAGTGACTCCATGTCCCCTAAAACTTATAGAGACACGAACCAAAATCCTTCCCTAAAATTTATAGTTGTGGGATCCACCAGATGGTGAAGAGTATGATTTCCACAATCAGCTACCTCATATCAATTTAAAAAGCATATGTGTCAGATCTACAGTAATTAGAGCTAATTTTGCAAAACAGAAGGAGCCCCCAAGATAAAAGTCTCATGAAATGACATTAAGAAAGTGAAATACTTGGAGCTACAACTCAGTGTTTTACTCCCTCGACCACATACCATTTAAGACAAAGTAGAGGTAAGCCATTACAGGATTGATCTTTGGTGTAAAGCTTTCTGGGCATCTGAATAGTTCTTCCCTGGAAGTGACTCAGTCTGAACATGCCACAGCTCACAAGAGATGAAAGCCTAAATCTGCACAGCTGTCAGAAGGAAAGGAAGTGCATTGGTGTGGAGGACGGAACATAGCACCAAAGAGCTGCCAGGTATAAAGCCCTAAAAGTTCCTATGCTTGTGGGAGAGGGGACTAGGAGGGCTATCCTCTTAGAATTGACTGAGGACAAGGAAGTGAGCATCAAGATGTTCACGCTGTTCTTCTGACATAACTAAGCCAGTTTTTATTACTTGTGGTCATAAAGAAACAGAGGGACCATGGACACACATGTAGATGCAACAGCTATATTCTCAATTCACATAAGAGTATTGCCAAACGGTTTGTGGTCTTACCATTTGGTCAAGATGAAAAAGGATAAATTAGGGATGGTCTAATGGTAAAAGACAAATGGAGTTTGTACAGTTGGCAGGGGGAGGCCCAAAGCTAGCAGACTGATAGAGGTATGCTTAGTGAGGCAGAGTGACGGAATTATGGCTGGGGTATTTGAGGAGTGCAGGAACTACTATTGTCCATCCTGGAGAGAGCATTCTTCTCCATGGGAATGCATGTATCCATTGGTTTTTCAGAACAGCAATACCTAGTCTACACATAGACTTTTGCAGCAGTGTCATGCTCTCTTGAAACCCAATGACATACAGCAAGGCTCGGCTTTTGATTCCTCAGGTTAAAGAAAGAGGAGACAAAGAGTGAGAAGTAGAGCCAGAAACAAGCTTCTGGGCATATGAGAAAAATAGGAGAAAATCGAGAGAGAATCTGGCTACGAAATGAAACAAGCATTTATTAAAAGCTTACTGTGTGCCCCAAGGTTCTGTCCTGTATGGGAGTTAATTATGGAAATCAGCATGTCACCAATCACATAGAGTCAGAATTAACCTTTATAGGGTAGCCAGGTGGTGCAGTGGATAAAGCACCAGCCCTGAAGTCAGGAGGACCTGAGTTCAAATCCAGCCTCAGACATTTGTCACTTACTAGCTGTGTGACCCTGGGCAAGTCACTTAACCCCAATTGCCTTAAAAAAAAAAAAAAGAACTCCCAAATTAACTTTTATACTCCCTTAAATTGCCATGAAGAGTATGGGGCAGTAGCTTTAAACATATGACTACCCAAAAAGAAACTAGGAAAATCAACTTCAGAAGCTTGATAATAAAGCCATTTCTTGCTAACGAATCAAGGCACTGAGATTTAGAATGAGATGCGTTTTCCGACATGGGCAATATGTTGCTTTGTGTTGCTTGATTGTACTTAAGCAGGAGCTTCAACTTGAGAGGTAGAATGAGTTAGTGGAAAGTGATAGGGGTAGAGACTGGACCTGTGGCTTCATTAATATAAGGAATTCCTCAGTGAGTGAACGCCCTCTACCAGTGCAGGTCAACACCTTCTCTGCAACTTCTACTCTTAGAGAATTGCCTATGATAGCAAATGTTTACTTGTTGTGCCTTAGGTTAAACAACAAGTATGTATCAGAGATTGAACTTGAAGCCAGGCCTTCCTATATCTCACCCCATCTCTCTCCACTATATGATAGTGCCTTCAGGGAAAGTGATAGCAATTTATTTAAAAAGGGACAGAGTATCATTAACACATTTAAAAGTAAAATACAGAGAAGAAAACAAACAAAAACCATGAGGATATTGAATAATTTTGTTACTACCTTGTTAAATATAATGTGTACTTTAAGAAACAGACTGCACAGAGCAAGAGTTCCTGACTTTGTCCCCCATCCGCTTGTTTTTGTGTTCTTTCTGAATCAGACTAAACACTAGCGTAGAAAGAGCAGGAACAGGGGCCAGTTGGAAGTTCTGCCCTTTATTACTGAGTGTCAGGTCATAGTTGTAGGGCAGAGAGGGTCAGTAACAAGGGAGTTGGGACTCTCTCTGTCTAAGGAGCAGATTCCAAAAACTTAGCTGTGAGACTTTGAGCCCAAGAACAGAGGGAGGACTTTGGGCCTGCACAGAAGCCTTTGGTGGAAGAAACTATAGCAGGAGACCAAATCCAAGGGAGAGCCAGCAGTTCAGTTGCTCTGAACCTACAGAACCTCCCAGGGGGCAGCAGTCATTGAGTTTAGCAGCAGTGTATGGACACCAAGCTCACACAAGCCAACGGACCCAAACCTGTACCAGGATCTTGCAGAGTTCATATAAAGAAAGCTGTGAACAGGCCCCTTCCTGGATCCCACCACTGTGAAAGCACCAGAAACTTGGAGGCCCCCACACTGAGCTGTGAAAGCAGCAAAAGGCTGTAAAAGAGGCTCAGACCAAATATCCCCGTTCCACGGAGGTGAGGAGAACCCAACACTAACGTGAAGTCCAAAGTCAAGGAGTGAGGTAGAAAAATGAACAGACAAAAGAACACTGATTGTGAGGACAGGGAAGCCCAAGAGAAACTCAGAAGGCAATGAGATCAAAGTATCTTCAAGCAGTGTAGATTGGACACAAACCCAACAAGATTTCCTAGAAGCTAAAAAGCAAAAAACCCAACATGATTTAAAAACACAAATGTGTATTTGTATTCAGTCCTGATTTCTGCATTGAGGCTCCAGTTGCTGACCTGAACTCGTGTGTAATTTTTTATTTCTCTTGACTCAGGATTTTATTGGTGGGAGGAGTGCCCCATGAACCCTAGGGAGTCAAGAATTCTGCCTTTTATTAGGCTTTATTGATTCCCTTTCTTTCAGTTGTTTAATCATGTTTTTGTTTTACTTTTGGGTTTTACCTGTTTTTACGTAAATGTGGATGGAGTGTGGATGTCAAGGTAGGATGGGATCTGGTAAGAAGATGTGGACTGGAATCAATCAAACATTAAGTGCTTACTGTGTTCCAGTCACTGTAGCAAGCTGGAGATATAAATATTTAAAAGAAATGGTCTCTCATCTCAACTAACTAGCTAACAAACTCATAGAGAAAGACAAAACAAAAAGGAACTGAAAGACAGGAATTTGTGAGGGTTACACTGTTATTCAGGAGAACAAATTCCAGAATCTGAAATGGTGGGATTTTTTAGGGTGTTTGATAGAGGAGAGCAAGCCTGAAAGGAGGTTTGGCTTCTCTCCCAGTCTCTGGAAAGTTTATATTATAGGATTTGGACAAAGTTATCCACACACGAGTCACGTCTGTGCAGTCAAACAATGTTGCCAAGGGAGCAACTTGAAAGCGATGTACACTGAAAGGGATATTAGGAAATGTAAACGTTCAGTAAAATTTTGGCAAAACCAAAACACAAGTTTTGGTGGACCAAAGACAAGATCTGGGTGGAGACTCTAAACCATTTTAGGGGGATCCAGGTCCTGAAGGAACCCAGAATATCTTGTAGCTATCTCCAGCATTGCTGGAGAGTTACTGAGGTCTGGACAACATTCTGGATGGAAACAATCTCTAATCACAAAATGTTGGATTCACATAGTATAATAAATTTCCCAAGCAATATAATGAATACTAAATAATAATCCACAATCCCCTCTTTTGGGCTTAAGACCCACCATTCTCATAGGAGTGAAAGCATAGTTACAGAAACAGAAATCTGGGTAACTAATTTCAAAGGTAGTTCATTACAATGCATCTCTTAGGGAGGCACTTCATTAAATAAGATTATAGGTAAACTTAGGTTATATATTAACTATTTAGAGGATTTGCAATGGATTGATTTGAGGGAAGATTTCCATATTACCAAGGTAATTAGCAAAATGAGGGTCAGGGAAGTAATAATAGCTAACATTTATAGAGTGTTTCAAGGAACTGTTAGCCAATAATGAAGCCTACTGATTTCTGGTGCACTCAGAATGCTCTGCCAAGATTTCTCTGCGGTAATTTATACTGAAGCAGATATTTCTACTTCTTCCTCCCAGGGTGAGATGATTGATAAAGGACTGCCTCATAAAATTAAAGTATTTCCCCTTTAACTTTAAAAATGGAATGTATCACTGTTCTCATGCAACCATAGGCAACTACATGTCATAGCATCTCTTTCCTGAGTTACAGGAAAGTTCCTAGACTCCAAGCCCTGGAACCTTTCAGTGGCCATATTTGAACAAACAGAAGTAGGGCCTCCATCACAGATGATGAGGTGCTCTAGAGGTGAGCAGCTGGAATTATTGAGCCACCCTGAGCCATAAACCTGAGAAGGTTTTTGTTCAGGTCTGCTGCAGAATGATAGCCCTGCTGACAGAGGCAGCAGCAGCTGCACAGGGTTGATGGTGAGGAAGTAGTTAGCGAAACCCCTGGCAGGGTCATCGTCACTGAACTGGGCTGGGACCCCACAGGTCAAGTTGGAGGGACTTGATAAGGAGCCTGGGTGGCTGTTCTTGCTTCTGTTGGTACCAGTGTAGACGCTGGTAAGTGCTTGAACTGGCCTTAGAGTTGATAGTGACTCTCCCAAAGATAGTGACAAGGTGGCTGTTAGCACACTGGCATCTCTAAAATCTGAAATTGCAGGAAAATAGTGAAGACACAAGAAAAAAAAACTGTTATCTGTGTGATCAGGATGTACTTTGCATACCATTGCAATAATTAATAATAGTATCTTATAATTAGATAGAACTTCATGGTTTGCATTCTGCAATCTTTGTCTCATTTGTTTCTCACTGCAAGTCTGCGAGGTGGAGCAAAATCTTAATCCCATTTTACAGTAAGGAAATTGGTAAGGAAATTGAGGGTCATAAAGGTCTATAAGTTGTCTATAGTGAAATGGCCTGCCCACTGTGTGTAGAACAACTGTGAATGCAGATCATAATTTATAAAGTTGCCTTACAGACATGAATGGATGCTACGTTGTGGGAATCTTCTTGATGTTATTTTTTTCTTTTTTCCCTAATATTTCCCAAGAATTCATGATATCAGTATTACCAGGGTTTATTTTTCATCTTGATTTATAAAAATAAATTGTTTTTTTTTATAATTTTACTAACTTTGAGGGGAATTACATATATGAATTGTCATGATTGCTATGCTGTTTGGGTTTCTCTTCTGAGATTGGATATGATTGATTATATGCTAGTTTTATAATTGATTTATTTTCCTGATGGAACTCTTATGTACTTCCAAGCATTTGGTATCAACAATGAGAATGGCATCTGTTTTGTGGTGGCCTTTATTATTATAGCAGTTACTAGAATGTTGCTTGAGGTGGAGGAGACCTTTAATAAAATTCTAACTCTAATGAGCAGAGGGGTCCATATAGCTCTCCAATTGAGAATGAAGCTTAATACATTCAGTTCCATATCTGTTTAAGAGGTTAAGGGAAAACCTTGGCCAGTTGCAATGGATAACAGACATGCTGTTTGTGATCACTAAGGACAGGATACATAGGACCGACACTCTCTTGAATAGTGGGACTTTTCTTATCTTGGTATCCTATGGACATATGTTATGTAGGGGAAACACAGATATCCTGGATCTATCATTTCAATTGACACATTGATATTCTCCTATTTTATTGTATTTACAACTTATTCAACTAAGAAACTTCCTTTCCCATGCTATATGTTAAAAACATATGGAGGCAATTTTTTTTTTTTGGTAACACAGACATCCTGACTCAGGGTTTAAATGTCCTCCTAAAATTGCTTGAGTCAGTCAGAATTAAAGCTCTGGCTCCATGTACATGTTACCAACTCAAGGGAATAAGCAATGTGGATTTACTTATCACCTAGCTTGTTGCCTCTTTAACCAACTTTCAGGTTGACAGTGAAAAACCCAGTCAAGCATTTTTCTTCTTCAGTTATTTCAGACATGTCTGACTCTTCATGACACCATTTCGGATTTTCTTGGCAGAGATACCGGAGTGGTTTGCTGTTTCCTTCTCTAGCTCATTTTACATACGAGGAACGAAGGCAAGCAGAGTTAAATGACTTGCCTAGGGTCACACAGCCAGAGTTGAACTCAGGAAGATGAGTCTTCCTGGCTTCAGGCCCTGGACTCTATTCACTGAGTCACCTAGCCACCCTAAGTCAAGCATATTCCACAATTATGGTAGCTCCGTATCCTTGAAGAGGTGAGAAGCCATATGACTTTGTGCTCTGGATAGAGCACACCTCTTTACAGAGATGAGTAGACCTGAAGGAAGAAAAGTCTGAGATAGGAGATGAGGCTAGGCTGGAGCAATTGTATACAGGGCTCAAATACAACAGGATCATCAAAGTTGAGTAGCCAAGGCTTCCAGTGGAACCCACCTAGTTTTGAAGAGGTGCTAGACACTGTAAAACACCTGGAAAATAGGACTAGGGTTGTTTAGAAGGATAGCTACTGGGAAACTATATGAAAATGGTCTAGGAACTCATGGATTCATGGAGCAGTTATTCTAGGGATGCAGAAATCGAAATGAGAGCTCACAAGAACACTTCTGAAGGAAAACGTTAGGGATAGCGTTGATGGCTCTGAAAAGTACTAGACCAGGGGAATGGAGATCATAACATACACCATCGTCTGTGGAAGATTAGGGAGATAGAATTGACTTGTGTTCCAACCATGGAGAAAAAGGCCAAAAACAGGATAAATGTACTCAAGGAGAGAATGAGATCTTGGTTCTTCAGATGCTGAGGACTTGAGGGTTCTTTTCAGGGAAAAAGAAGTGGGGCCAGGGAAAGAGGTTGCCCCAGTATCATTAGATACAGACCAGAGCTTCACTAGTGATTAGTTTAGACTCAGGGCATTGAACAGAGGTGTCTGTAAAAGTTTGGAATGTGGATTCCATTGCTGTCCTGGTGTGACATTTTCTTGTGTTGTCGTTATTTTTCTGCAATTTCAGGTTTTAGAGATGCCAGTGTGCTAACAGCCACCTTGTCACTATCTTTGGGAGAGTCACTATCAGCTGTAAGGGCAGTTCAAGCACTTACCAGTGTTTACACTGGTACCAACAGAAGCAAGGACAGCCACCCAGGCTCCTTATCAAGTCTCTCCCACTTGGCCTGTGGGGTCCCAGCCCAGT